TGCCTCTAACCCAGGGATGGAAAAGAACAAAAAGTAGGCCTGCGTTCCACAGGGGACAAAGGCTATGCAACTGGCCAGGGAGGAGGGGGAGACTAAGAGGAAAATTCTCCCATTTTCTGTTTTTTTATCTTCCCTTTCCACTGTTTAATGTATGTCAGCTTCTGAACTCTACAATTCAATAATTATTAATGATTATGTGTTCATCATTGTACTAAGCATTTTGATCCTATTTTTCAAGACACCTCTTTTCTCCCTCCACCCCATTTTCTTTTCTTTGGCTATTGCCTAGTTTACCATATACTATCTGTAAGAACCTCTCCATGCTTTACTTTCAGGGAAGAGATCTTTACAGTAAATAACATAAGTTGGTCCTTGGAGAAAAAAGGGGAGAGGGGAAGACAGTTCTGGGCAGCACCTAGGGAGCTAACATGGCAAAAGAGGAGGACATGGGTAGGTAATGGAGTAAAGACAACTACAGGGCTTTGTTTCTATTCAGGATTTAAGTAATTCCTTCATTATCAGAAATAACTATGTCAGTATCAATAACCTGCTGATTATAAAATTCATCATTGGCAGAGAGAGCAGAAGAACATTTAATGAACACTTGCCATCTGCCAGGCACTGTGCACAGCTGGAGGTTTGCAGTCTTGTGGTAGTCAAGGACTCCTCAGAGAGTCTTGTGAAAGTTATGAAATCTCTCCCATAGAAAAGTGCCAATGTACAAAAAATTTTACATAGAATTACAGGGCACCCCAGGTTAAAACCCTCAGGCTAGGCTCTTGCATCTGTTAACCCACTGAGAGCATGGCACTGTTGAGATAGATACCATTATCCTTACTTTACAGAACGGACAGAGAGGTTCAGGAACATACTCAAGGTCACATACGTAATAAGTGGCAAAAACAACATTTTTAATGACAGCTGTCTAAACACTAAACCTTGCTGCCCCAGATGAGAATGTCATCCTGGCTTTTACTGTTACTGTAACTATCATTCCTTATTTTTAAATGAGGAAATTAAGATTATGTGAGAAACCTGAAGCGGGCCAACTGTACTGTGATCAACTTGGCTGGGCCATGATTCTCGGTGGTTTGGCAGTTAAGATGTAGTTTGGCAGTCGTATAATGATGTGATCACCTCCATGATGAGATTTGATACAACGTGATCACCTCCATGATGGGATCTGCTGTAAACAGCCAGTCAGTTAAAAGGGAGCCTCCTTGGGGATGTGGCCTGCATCCAGTATAGGTGGACTTTCTGGCAAGGCTTGTGGGCTTTTGCTCGCTCTGGATCCTGTAGCTGGCTCCTGTTTGTATGACCTCTAGTTCTTGGGACTTGAGCTAGCAATTTACTTGCCGTCTTGCCTGCTTCTCTTGGGATTCGTTGGTCTTTGCAGCCTGTGAGTCAGAGCCCTGCTGTCTGACTTGCCAATCTTGGGTTCGTCAGCCACTGCAGCTACGTGAATCATGAGAAGCCTCCAGCCTGACCCACGGACTTGGGACATTCCAGCCTCTACAACCACGTGAGCCATTCCCTTAATATGAATCGCTCTCTCTATATATTTATATGCTTTACTGGTTTTGCTTCTCTAGAGAACCTAGCCCAAGACATATACTCGACATGGGAAATCAGGAAGTTCAGAATTCCTTTAAGTTCCAATCCCACTTGCTATCAGCCTAAAGCCCAACACCCCCTGAACCCACCCACCTAGCTGGAAGACAAGCCAAAGCGAGCCTTTTTAGAGGCCTCTCATTCCTCAGAACAAGAGGCACTCTCTCTCCTCTTCAGAATAATCCATCTCTCAAAACGTGGAACTCAGAAACCAGTCAAAGTCCTACTGATATGAAACAAAAGAAATTTAATTTCAGAATATTACATAAATATAAAAGATAATACATATGATGTCTTTACAGTTACATATATATATATGATATACAAACAAAAATAAAAAATGGTGAAGCACTCAAGAAACCTTGTTTCTCTTATTGACTGAGCTCATAGACAGTGCAAAGGCAACCCTTGCTATGAAGAAAGGACTCTGAGGTGAGGGAATGTTGTTTCTGACAGGTTCTGCTGGTCTCCAACTTGTCTGGGGGCGTGCTCAACAGCTGTGGCCTCACACGCTCCAGTTTCCATAGTAACCTAAGCACTCAGGCTATTATGTACTCCCCCTCCTCACAAGCCCCTCCATCCACTATTAGAAAGAGCTCAGCATTAACTGCCTAGGAAAGCCAGCTTTCTATAGCATGGGTTAATTGCCACTGGTTTAAAAAGCTTATGGATCTCAGAAACCCAAATCCTCCTCAAGTTCTAAGTCAATCCTGCAAATGCTGGTATCTGACTTTGAAGCTGGTCCTCTCTTCAGTATGAAAGCTTCAGCTTGGAAGAGGGCAAGGATGAGGCTCTCTCCTGGGGAAAGGAATTTTATTCAGAAAAGACCTCAAAATGGGAGCCATAAATTTCAAGCAACTGTGTGAGGTCCTCTATGAAGTAAGCAGAAAGATCTCGAGAAGTCCGTTCCCAAAGACGGCTTCCCCAGTTATACATGGCCAGTTCACTGTGGGGCACCGTTCCAATGGTCACAAGTTCTCCTAGAACGTAATATTTTAAACTGTATCCTAATACAGGCTCCTGTGTGGGAAGTTGAACAGAAACATTCCTACTCAGGAGAGGATGGTTCTGCTCTGACATTCGGCGATCAACTGGCTTTCTTACAGGCCAAAGGAACAGTCATCTCAGGAACACCCAGTAGTCTCTGTGTTCAACAGCCCCACACTGACCCCATTTCCCAAGGGCATTCCCTTGTCATACCTGACTGACTACGGAAGGGCATTCAGAGTAGAGCATTCCTTCCCATTTATGGAGGATCAATGAAGGGTAGTTTCAGTTATGATTCATTAAATATCTGCTCCTTTAATATGTTTTGGCACTCAGGTACAATCAATACTTCCTAATCCTTTCACTGCTGCAGTGGGGTTTTTCAAACCAGATTCATTGGTCCCAGTATAAAAGTCCATCAATGTAACAGGTTAGAAACTCCAGTGCCTTGGCTTTTCACTGATTCAACCAGTGTGGCTCACCCAACACAGATCTGAATCCAGAAGGTGGCCTGCGTTTTTATGCTTTGGTCCCCGTATTATCTCATATTAAAGCCCATCACAATTGGTCCCAGAAAGAAAGAAAATTTTAAAAGCACAAAAGAAGCATTTTCAAACAGACTGTTCCAACATGAAAAATGAACAAAACATTTTTAAAACATAGATTAAAGATTTTTAAGTACTGGCTCAAAAACAGTACCTGCCCTCCAAGTCTAAATGGAGGCAGTACCCTTCAGTGAAAAATGATAAAGGGTATTTGTCTTTTGAGTTCACCATAAGATTCCACAGGATTATAACGGTTTCATATTATAAGGCAGAAGGTTATGCTGCTTACTCCTTAAATTTGGATTGCAACTGGATCACAGCTTCTATAAGGAAAATGACCTATAACACCCTTAAAGCAAGGGAAATAATATTCAATAAATTAAACAAAACACATACCAAAATACATACAATACCCAAGGGGACCAGCTGTATAAAACCATGTGCATGTGACAAACATCTCTCTCAGCACCCTGGCCCCAGGAACACTACCCTCGGTTGCTGACTCCATTCATCCAAAAAGTGTCTCCTAGATCTCGGCTACCTCCCTCAGATAGTACCACAAAACTGACTCGATGACAAGGAGGTGCCAGGTGGGTGCTCTGCTCTCTCTACCTGACGCCAGACCTTGTTTAACAGAGCATCACCCAGCTCCAGGAAAGAACAGACTTACACAAAGAAAGAACAGAAGTATCAAGTTAAGAGAGGACACTGCTTCAGTCTAGTGATACCAAAAAGTGACTTCAGTGTTTTAAGTCACCGATACCTGGTGCAAGGAATTTTGTTTGTTTTTCCTTAATAAGAAAAAAAATCAAATAGAAATCTACACAAATGAATTTGCTAATAAGTATTTTTAAGAATGACATCAAACTGCTCTAGAGAAAAGGGCTTCTGAGCAGTTGTATATGCCTAACCATCTGTCGTTCACAATTTATCCAATCGGAAGGTCACATTTCACATTTTTCTTCACTACTACTGTTACAGCAGCACAAGCAACAGAAAGTATGGAACAGAGGGCTGACACCCAGACACAAAGCCAAACTCTGCTCCCCCAAAGTCATCTTTCATCTCCGCGGTAACACAGCATTTTCGATAGTTTAAAATAGGTCAGCAAACCATATTTTGCTGGGCAACTGTTTCCCCACAGAGACCTGACTCATCTCCAACACACAGGGTGAGGACGGTTATACAACTGAGCAGAGCCAGGCACACACCTGTACATTCTCACCCACCACATGCTACTCTCTGGGCAGGAGATATTTTATACTAGATCAAAGCCATGGCTCACCTTAAACATACGTGGATGTCCCCAACCCAGCCAAAGTTCTGGCACCATCTCCAAATTACATCCGTGCCCATTCTGACAAGCAGAGGGGTAGTGCAGCAACTAATCCTTCAATACTGGTGAGAAGCCACAACTGCTTCCAAATAAGAACATTCTCTTCTTTAAATCCTATCAACCTTGCAAAGACTGATGCTCACTTCCTCTCCTCTGGCTCCAACCAATTCACTTCTCAGGAGATTGTCCAGCCTGCACACCTGATCCCTTGGAAGGACAGAATAGAATTCCACCCATAAAGAGTCATTCTGTGACATAAGGCCAGCCAGCCCCATCCTAGTCACACTCCAGAGCTTCCCACTACATACAAAAATTTCAGCAAACCTCTATTAGGCTGTCAGTGACTTCTCTTGAGTCACAGTGATTTGGCACAGAAAGAAAAAGGGTCAGAAGTATTACACTGGCACAGAGATGTTTCAGGCGAGAGGAACTGAATGAAGGAAACAAGCTCAGCAGCCACACAATTATTTTGGCATCACTAGAAAAGGGGGAAAGGGAGAGAGATGGGGACTAACGGGGAGAAAGAGAGAGAGGGAGGGAGGGAGAGAAGGAGGCAGAGTTTAATAGCTGAAATTTGTTAAACTATTGTTATCATTCTGAATTCTCCTTTTTCAATATTACAGGTTCAATGCCCTTCAATCTCAGACTAAGAAATAACTGAAAATTTCAAGGAAAGCTATAAATTCTTTGGACACAAATAAGGTATTGAGGAACATACCTCATGAGATAAAGAACTTTCCCAAAGCTTGGGGTAAAAAAGGGTGAAAGATATCTGGCTTTGAGACCACTTAGCCCTTTAGACAACCTATCAACATTCCCAGAAAAATGGCTTTTAAAACAAACAAAAAACAACCAAATACCCCCCAACATTTCAAAATAGAGAAAAGCCCAAAATATCAGTTAAAAATAACATCAATCCACTAAGATTGGCGGTACTTAAAAAAAAATCACTGGCAGTTAAACACACATTTCATATTTTTAAAAAACAGAATCTGCCTAAACAACACATTGAATGAGCATTGGAGCCCACCTGATTCTGCCTGTTTATTGTGCTGTGTAAGCTGGTTGGCTGGTTAGTGGTTTCCCCATAATATTAAGAAGAAAAAAAAAGTTCATAGCATTCGCTCAGAAGGCACAGTTTGCAAACATCCAGTAAGTGGGATTACAGGTATCAGTCAAGTATTAGTTTCACAGTTCAAAATGCAGCAAGCAAGCTGCAAGTTCAAGCATTGCTGTGAGTTGTAATAACACTTGGCCCACTAAAGAGAAAATTCCTAGGTGGATGACAGGAGGACTCTGGATCCTTCAGAGGAATCCTAGGTTGAAAGAGAAACAAAAGCATTAAGCACATTTATAATTATTTCTTTTTGCAAACACCCCACCTGAAAACTAGACAATCTATACCTAATATTTGTTTCAAACTGTGAGGGTTAAAGAGTTTAAGAATTTATGACTCTCTGGTACAGTGGTTAAAGCACTCAGCTGCTAACCAGAAGGTCTGCAGTTCAAACCTACCAGCTTCTCCACAGGAGAAAGATATGGCAATCTGCTTCTGTCAAGACTACAGCCTTGGAAACCCTATAGGGTAGTTCTACGCTGTCCTATAAGGGTCACTATGAGTTGACTGGACAACAGTGGGTTACCAAATAAACATAACCTTGTTCGCTTGATCTAACCTCGGTTCATTAAATCATCTTACCAATAATAAAAGCTATCACTTATTTAAGTATGTATTTTGTGTCAAGGACTGCTGTAAGTTTTTTAGGTACATTATCTCATTTATCCTCACAAGAACCTGCACATTAGGTAATACTCTTTTTATAGATGAAGAATCTGAAGGCTATACACTTGCCCAAAGATATATAGCTATTAAGCAGCAAAGCTGGATTTGAACTCAAGTCTAACTGAATGCAGAGTTCATGCTCTTACCACAACTACTGCTCTCATCAGCAAATGTGTACTAAACGCCTACTAGACACAAGGCACTGTCATTATTGGAAGGAAGACAAAAACAGAACCAGGAGGCCACAAATACAGTCTTAGGTCTGGTACTTGTCTTCCAGGCGAGGAAATGGTTACAGAGATAATACATGTGAAATAACTACAAAAAAACCACATTAAATATCAACATTTTAGTGGAGTCATTAAGAGTTCAGAGCAGAAAGTAATTATATATAGCTAGGTTAGCCAGAGAAGATTTCAAAGAGGAGATGGGGTTTAAGATGAGCATTGAAGGATAGGTATGATTTTGACTGCTGAAAATAATGCCCAGTTAATAAGTAGGTGGTTCTAGTTGGGAGATATTTTGTCTCCTCTTTCTCCAACCCCTCACCCTAGGGCATTTGATAATATCTGGAGGCATTTTTGGTTGTCACAACTGGGGGAAGGGTACTACTGGCATCTAGAGGGCAGAGGATGCACCTAAACATACTACAATGAACAGCACAGCTCCCCACAACAAAGAACCATCTGACCCAAAATGCCAATAATGTTGAGGTTGAGAAACTCTGTGGATTATGCTATTGATGATAATAATAAAACTGTACTATCTTCTTCAAGAATATCTATTACTTTTATAAACCTCACCACTGTATTCACTGTTGTGTAAAACAAATACATGGCAATTGCATCTGTAGGCTGAGGGACTGGAAGGGAGTTCAGAGCTGGTGACACAGGCTTAGAAGCAGTCATTATACAGAGAGTAGAACTGAGCTATGGAAGTAGACCAAGCTGCTAAAAAAAAAAAAAAAAAAAAATCAAGAGCAGAGAACTTAAGATAGAGCACTGAAAAACAGGAAGAGGTAGTGGGGTAGGCAGATAAGAGTAAGCTACTGCAGAGAGGAAAAAGAGTTAAAGAGGAAAGGAGGAGGACAAGAAAAATGTAGCACCACGACTGCCAAGGAAGGCATTTCAAGACAGAGTGTGACCAGGGAGAGTAAAGTGGAAATGCCATTGACTGATCCAATCAGAGGGCATTCATTATCTGTGGGCCTCTATTTTTCTGAATCACTGACATTATTGAGAATCTAATGAAAACTATATATTCTTTCACCCAGAAAAATGCACATATGCACCTACCTATAAAATTGTACCAACACTATCAGGAACTTTATAGACCCCTTAGGAGGCCCACAGATAACAGGTCAAGAATCCCTGCTCTGAAAATGCTTAGTGAAATACTAAACTATTTTTTTAATCCATTTCTTTCTTCCCAAAGCATAGTTGTCAACATAGAAAAATTTATTATTTCTTAGCTTTAACTCATGGACATTGATGTATAAATGTTTAGACACACATAGCTTAGACACTGAATGTGCCTCAGACAAGTCAGCCTAGAAGTCAGAAGCAAGGTGGAAAGAAAACAGAATTCAGATAATTCATTTAAGGATAAGTAAGGAGACTATACTGAAAACTAATTTTTTAGAAAAGAATAAAGATTTATCCATGAGGTTTAGGCTTCTCTTTCTTTTCCTGATGTCTCAAATAGTAACCGTGCTCATGTCTCAGTGATAAATGAGTATATCAAACCAGAGATGACTTCATCTGTTACGCAAGCCCTATATGACAAGACCAAGTCTCATCCAATTTTCTTTAGTAACAACTATTAGCACTTGTTAATGCTTTAACAACTATAATGTGCTTCCAAAACATTATTCTGATTGTGCCTCATAGAAATTTATGAAGTAGTTATAATTATTATCCTCATTTTCAGAGGATGAAGCTTGGGCTCAGAGGGAGTGAGTGGTTTACAGGTCAGAGAAATGATGACTCAGATCAGGTCTAACTACAAATCCCTGGTCTTTCCAGTGAACCACACAGCTTCTTCACAGGAGAGCAGCGACGTAGCTTCTTCACAGGGCAGCACAGCAGCCACTGCCTATTTACTAGAAGAGCCTGAGGCAACCAGCAGTCCCAGCATTAAATAATCCTCCTTGTCTTCAATAACTTCAAAAACATGTTGTATGATATGCTTTCCAGTGTCCTTCTGCATGAGCTGTTTATCTGGAAAGCCTCACTGAATAAACAAGGCTAAAGTCTACAGAGAAAAGAAGCGTAACTATTCCATATTTACTGAGCATACTCTTAGCACTTCTATGGTTTACACAAATTAGTTTACACTTGTTTTTAATTTTCTTAAATAAGTATTCTTAAGATATTTTACATGTGTGTCCCGTCTGTCCAAGGACACAGGGACCATGTGGATCTGAGCTCACAGCTCTATCCTCAGCACTTGGGGCAGTGCTGAGTACCTGCTCAATAACCATCTGCTGAATTAACTCAATGGCAAGGACTCAGCCTTATAATTTGTATGTAGCTTCTGACTACAACTATACTACACTGCAAATTCAAAAAATGCTGACTGACTAGATGCAGCAATAAACTACATTCAGTAAGAACAGAGAACAAGTACTGTTAGTACCTTTTTTCCCCTCCTTCTTCCCCTCAGACCATTTCAATCTTGTTGGTGTCATCTTGACAGCTGGAGAGCCAGAAAATAACTGTAAAAGAAAATTTTACAGTGGCTTAAGTATTCTGTTGTTCCTGTAGACAGATTTACTATCAGAGGAATTACTTGTTCAAATTCAATGTGAAGAGTTTTACTGAGACTGACGTATTTATCTTAACTGATTTTATTGCTAGCTTAATGAAGTAACCATGCCAGGGATACCCTGAAGGACTACCCCACAGGTAATGCAGTATCAAGGCCTGGCTCAAATGTTACCTGCCCTGTGGAGTCTTCAGTTAGAATTAATTGCTCTCTCCAGCACTTTGTTTACGGAGTATTTCATTGTATTTGTCATCAGGGCTTACGCCTGTGTTTGTTGAATAAATCACTGAAAACCCACAGAGAGAAGACAGCATAAAGGAAAGGATTAATTGAAAAAAGGCATAGTTGAATGGCCCAGAGAAACACCGTAAAACAGATGACAGTATATGGATTTTCTCCCTTTCTACAAACATACACATATAGACAGCAAGTCTGAAGAATAGTGTCTTACTGAGTTCACATTTTCTTTGCTGACTCTATTCAATTCACCAATGGCCACAGATTCCGGAGTAGGATACTTGTTTTTCTTTTCTGACATCATCTGATTCCCCAGGACCTTCCGCTGATTTAGGAACAGAAAATATTTTACTTATAAACAACCACTATATCTATATTATGGCTCACCTGGCCTTCAAAACTACCACTTCTTTAGGTTAAAAAAATCTCAGCTTTCTGATAAATTCTGTATGCATCTTCCCAGGCCGTGTTATACAAGAAAGCCAAAAGCACATTCAAAAAAAACTGCAATCACTGCCTTTCTTTAGGTGATTACTTTTCCTCTATATTTAAAAGGGCTAAAATGGTAGAAGCAACTTTATAGCTGACTTAAACTAGCTAATATAGGGCAATTACAGTGTGCCTCTGAGACCATAACAAACTCCAGTTACTTACCAGTATAATTTTTTCCCCAAAGATGTATTTATTGTCTCTGGCAGCTGTTAAAAGTTTCCCTTCTTCCCCTCCCCACTAAGGACACTTAGGCTGGGTCCACTTTAAGATTTTACTTCCCTGTCATGTCACCACACAGGATTGGAAAATTTGGAGAGGTTCTATAGGAGTTCTTAATATAGCCACAAGAAGGTACAGGCCTTACGAGGATCACATGACTATACTGACATTCAGAGCAAGACTGAAAGTCCTTTCATCCCTGAACAGCTTGGGAGCTGATGTAACCTACTGTAACAGCTGACAGTGACAATTCTACCATCTTTGGAGAAATCTACCCTTTTTTTTACCCTTGGAGAATAAATTTGAATTCCAAAAAAAGAACATTAAACCCCTACAATATAAATATCAGCAGCAATACTCAGAATATTCTGATGCAATAAATTATTTACATTAGATGAACTCTGGAGAAAAAAAAATCTATCCCAAAGAGGGATCAAAGCTCGATAGCAATAAAATAGTTAAAACATAGAAATGTTGGAAAAATAAGACCAGTACCATCCTCCTTTCAAAAGTCAGATACCATCTCAGAGTAAGCAAAGCTGGGGATGATAAGAGCCACAGAACTGGTGATAAAGCTTCCACTCAATTTTTTCTTTTAATTGTGGTGAACAAATACATAACAAAATATATGCCATCTCAACAATTTCTACATGTACAATTTATCCACTGACTTTTTAAAAGACATTTCATTACTCCTTTACAGAGCTATTGAGAAAACTACATTATTAGCTCAAAAATCTCTTCATTTATAATGAAAACAATTTACCCATTTCATAAAATTTGCAAACATTTGTGTTTAAATTTGTTGTTCTAAAATGTCTTATCCTGATAGAATTACAGGCTCTTTTATAAATTCTAATGTTCTAAATTCTTCTTAGTAAAGAAACAGGCAGCTGGCAAGAGGGTACTATTATATTTGCATTTCAAGCAACAATTAGCAATACAGCTAAAGCCAGGAGAAGAGCTCACTAAGAACAGAAAACTACACCCATCTAACTTCAGGTAAAGACACATTTATTTAACTAACACATAAAGAAACATTTATCTGACTATAATTTTTCTTTTCCCCAATCATCTCTATGACAGGGAAGTCAGAGGGATGACAGACCTTTCCAATTAAAAAGAAAAAGGAGGATACACCAAGGATATTTACTAGCCACATCTAAGCAGGTGAATGCACTTCTAGAGTTCTGCAAAGGAAATTTTGATGTCAAGCAAGCCGAATGTCCCAGAGGCTACTGACCCCAACAGACTGGATTGAGAGTGAATTCTAAACTTACATAAATTATAACTAGGACCAAAATTAGGGTTAAATGAAGTTGCAACTGCTAAACCGCTGCAGCTTAAAGGAAAAAACATTACAAGGTTGTCTATTTCTTACAGCAAAAAATTTTAATTTTAAACAAACGGCTCCTTACAATGTTGCTGGATGTATAGATTTTAATAAACTTAAAAACACAAAAAAGTAGAAACCAGAATAGTGCTGCTCTCTCTCCAAGTTAACCAGAATCCTGTCTTAGGTTATGCCTATAAATTTGAACTCCATAATCAAAGTATCTACTGCCACCTGATGGCAATATTCTTTAACTACAAGTCCAGAACACTGAAGACTAGTAAACTTAATCTGCAGTGATGGTAGCAACAGCACAGAAGTATGTTTTTTGTCTGCTTTAAAAACAAAATTATTAATGAATTTGATAAAAGGGAAGAGAATACAACTGATAAAAATATTAAGTTCACAAAAATTTGAGGTACTGAAAACTCACTGATCTATTGGAAAATCCATTTTTCTAACCATCTCTCAACTTCCTCACTTCTCCATAAATTTAGAGACTTACACAGTGAAGTGTGTAGTGCAAAGCAGGTCAGAAAGAAAAAGAGACTCTCCACCCTGCTCAGTAATAAGGACTCTGTTCTCAGCCCCAGAAGAAAAGGACAGAACTTTAAAATACTTTTACTTCTTTCTTCTCTAATCACAGAGTCCCTGATTTGAAACACAGTTTCTCTGATTTGAAACACAGCAAAATGGTTTGAAAAAATAAAAGCTTTTCCAAATTCTACCCTTATCCCCTTACAAATGAACCATTTATAGGATCACAAAGCAGAGAAGAAAACTTATTATTCTTAAGAGAAGTCACAATCAATGCTAAAAGGACAGCACAGCGTCCCTACCTTAATAAGCCCACTGAAGGAACGGGAGCGGGTCCTCTTCTGTACCCAGGGAATAGAAGGTTCTTGCCCTGGCGTTTGGGTCGCAGATTGCTTATTAAACTAAGAGAAAACCATTTTATTATTATCTTCCCATCAAGAGACAGTATTCTGTGACAACCAATAGCTAAGTCCAGAAAACTCCATGAAAAAGTAAAGATATGTACATATGGATTAGTGAGGCTGCAAGCAAATCCCAAAGGCAGAAATGGTGCTGCCAAAAAGTCAAAATTTAATAAAATTACTCTGAGGGATCCTGCATTTCACATTTATTATTTCATATGCATTGTGGTTGGAATATTATTTCTATTTTACAGACAAGAAAATTGAGACTCAGAGAGCTTATGTAATTTTCCAAAAATATCTAGATGGTAATCAAGATTTTCTGCATAAAGTACCTTGGACATAGAGAGTTATTAGCACAACCTAAGACGGAATAATTTAACAAAAATTACACACAGAATAAAAAATTACTAAAGCTCTTTAAATGGATGTCTATCAGGATTGCCTGTCAGCACTACTCTCAGAGGAAATATATCAGAAGGCAGACTTGTCAATTCTATCAATATCAGCTCTCTGGAGGTATCTAAGGTAGAAAAAGGGAAGAATCAAGCGTTGTACAGTCTCATTCAATGCTTTGATTAGCCACTCATCTCCCCACTTAAAATAATAATACAGCACTTAATTCTTCTACTCTTCTGCCTTTTCTAACTAACCTTTTTAATTTTCTCAATTGTAATTTTGTAAATTTTTTTCAGTCCAGATTCAGTTTTACAGGTTAAAGAAATGACATTCTTTAATATACAGGTACCCTGAGGTTCTCAAAGTTAATTATCTCAGCAGATAGGAAATCTAGTCATCTCTAAACAGCTTAGCTCAGTAAATAAAAAGGACAAGTGAAAACCAACAATTCCTGATAATGCTGGCAAGGGTGCGATAAGGTGGGCCCTCTTGTATCCAACTTGTAGGAGCATTAATCGGTAAAACTTTCTGGAAAGCTATTTCGCAATATGTATCCAGAGCCTTTTAAAAAATGCATATTGAAAAGCACACATCACCTGTGCAGTATTTTCTCTCTAATACTTTTAATTAGTTCACCTGTAATCTTTACAGCCATGAAACATGGACAGTACTATTACCGTTTTACAAACAAAAGAATTTAAATTCAGGGAGATAACGTTATTTGCCAAGAAAATCTGGAGGGTTTAAACTTTGGAACAATATATTGATAACTACTGGTTCTCTCTCAGCAAACTTGGTACATGACCAAAATTACAGAAACTCTAACCAAACTGAGATCCTCCTGTTTAACTCTAGAAATCAAGAGCCTCTACTCTTTTCTCCAGTAGGGTAGTACTATAGAGATCGCCACTGAGGTTCCACAGACAAGCCTGCTTTCTTGGATGAGCCAAAACTTGGGCCAATAACAGCCAAAAATTAAATGAGATACTTAACAATATTCCCTAGTGATTCTACAACCACAATTGCATTCCTAAAGCCCCATCACCATTTCCCTGCCTACGGGTACCTGTCTAATAAGCTGCTTCTTCTTTGCCGACTCTGGCATATTGTGGACATGTTGGAACAGATCTTTCAATGCCTCTTCCGTACGCTGTTGCGTCTCCTCCTGATGAGAGCAGGAATCTACCCGGTTCCGTTTCTGAGATTTTGCCAGCTGGAAGGACTTAGTATGACATGAAGTTATCAAATCAAGGTCATCCTAAAGAAAATTTAAAACAAAATCAAATTAATACATCCTGCCAGCTTTGTTTTCATGTTCTCACAAAAGCTTGGAGCAAAAAAATGCAGAGGGGGAGGGGCCATGGCATATTCCTATACTCAGGAACAAGAATAATCTTAATGCTTTTATCAAATAAAAAGAAACCTTTAATTATCAGTTACATTAATAGCCCCACTCCCAGGACCTGTTCAGAGAACCCTAAATTCATTCAGAACATTGCCAAGAGTTACACTTGTATAAAAGTTCAGTTTTCAAAGCAACCTTTAATCTCACATAATTCTCACTGCTATCCTCTGAGGGAAAATGTCATCTTTCCATTTGACAGAAGAAAAAATTAAAGTAATAAGCTGAAAGTTATCTAGATAATGAAGTGACAAACCCACCCTGGAGGCCAAGTGCACTGGTTCTTGGCTGGTGCTCTTTCCCACACATGACAACAGAAGGTAACAATTACATAGCAATGGTAGAGGAACAAAAACCACAACTCTCTAAGAAAGTTAGAGAAACTCTAGCTAGGCCAGTTGAGATCAAATACTTACTCTTTTCCTGGTCATACCAAATATTTGCTGAATGAAAGATAAAAATTAACTACAGGAGTAGAAAAATTAGCATAATTAGAAGCTTAAGTTTCTAACCAAGACAGACTAAACAGAAATAAACAGTGATTGTGTAATTTTTTAAAAACTTCTCACTGTTATTTTGCTGAGGGGGCATTAAGTTTTGTGTTAATGTTAGTCAGTAGATACAAGACACCAAAGGGGCAGCTTCTGTCCAGAGGTGAGATGGGAAGGCAGAGAGAGTTAGGAGCTGGTTGAATGTTCATGGGGAATCAGGGGCAGAGGGGAGGAGTGTGCTGTCGCAGAGTGGGGTGAGCGGTTGGGGTCTCATAACAATGTACGTAAAACAAAAAAAAAAGAAAAATATGTATGGGAGACTAACTTGAAATATAAACTTCATTTAATTACAACAATAAAAAAAAAGTTTTATGTTAACGGTGGTGGAATGATTTAGAAAAAGATGGCGAGAGTAGTTGCACAACTTAAACAATATAATCAATGTTACTGAATTGTACATGTAGAAATATGTTTTGTTCTGTATATTTTCACCACAATAAAATTTTTTAAAGACATTTACATTAATTTTGTAAATATATTTTAAAACATTCACTTTTAAAGCTCAATGTGACAATAATATATATTCTATTCTGTTAATAAGCATCACACATTTCCCTCTCTAAGCTCATGTGGTCTCAAGTCTTTCAGCCATCTGATAGGGTTCTATCTTACCACTGAACCTGAAATAAGAATATATTACATAAAGTTATACTTCCATTACTGTAAAATGTTCACTATTTTGCTATTTAAAGATTGTTTATCACGACTCACAGGGACCCTGTAGGACAGAGTAGAACTGCCCCACCAGGTTTCCAAGAAGCAGATGGTGGATTCAAACTGCCAACTTTTGGTTAGCAGCCAAGCTCTTAACCACTATGCCACCAGGGACCTTTTTTCGTTTTTGTTTTTTTTTTTGCTTTATCATATGCAGTAAGAATATATAAAGGCTTTATGAAAAACGCTGAAATATACAGTCTATGCCATCACTCACAGAGAGGATCCCATCCATCAGTAGAACACCTCTGAAAGCAGACAAGAATACTGCGCACAGGGATATTTTTATTTCAACATATAATTTTCTTCTTTTCAGTCTTTTTCCTTATCTCAAATGACTGGATAGTTTTGAGCTATAAGTACATTGCTTTACTTTGATTGCATACTTTGTTTTAAAACTTCACTAATTCTAATTAACTCTGTTTCATTATTTGGGCTGAGAGCAATTTCCTTTTCTTACCTTTGATGCGTGAGTTCTGGAGCCCAAATAGTGCAATCTGGCACATTCCCGAATGTAAGCAGGAGCCTAGGCAAGACATAAAAGAAAAACCAAGATCCAGTAGTTAGTAGTACCTAAAATTCTTCCAGGCCACAAAGACAGTGGTTCTTAAATGATTTTACTGGTAAATTACTTTGGAAAAGCAAAAGATCCTCAAAACGCCTTATTCCATAGCTTCCTCATTCTTGCCACCAAAAAGATATCTCAGAAAATCACAGCAAAAAAGAACAAACAATCTATTTGTGAAAAGACGCCAATGCAGTTGTTGTTATTTTAAGATTAAACATAGCATGTACATACTCACATGGGAGCCCTGTGGTGCAGTGGTTAAGAGCTCGACTGCCAACCAAAAGGTCAGTAGTTCTAATCCACCAGCTGCTCCTTGGAAACCCTATGGGGCAATTCTACCCTGCCCTATAGGGTTGCTGTGAGTCAGAATCAACTCAACAGCAATGGATTTGGTTTGGATACTCAAAGGAGCCAGAAACAAAAATAGAGATATTTGTAGTAATGTTTGTATTTGACAAAAACTACCCTAAGAATTCTTACAAATTATAACCAGTTAACCAGCTGCCATCAAGTTGATTCTGACTCATGGCAACCCCATGTGTGTCAGAGTAGAACTGTGCTCCACAGGGTTTTCAATAGCTGATTTTCCAAAAGTAGATTACCAGGCCTTTCTTCCAAAGTGTCTCTGGGTGGACTCAAACTTCCAACCTTTCAGTTAGCAGCCAAGTGTTTTAACCGTTTATTTATTTATTTTATTGTGCATTAGGTGAAAGTTTACAGAGCAAACTAGTTTCCCGTTCAATAGTTTGTACATGAAGTGTTTCATAACATCGGTTTCATTCCCCACGATGTGTCAGCTCTCTCCCTATTTCCATCCTAGGTTCCCCATTTCCTTTCATCCAGATTTTCTATCCTTTTCTGCCTTCTCGTCTTTGGTGTTGGGCAAATGTGGCCCTTTCGATCCGCAAAATCGATTGTTCTAAGGAGCACATTCTCTGCATTACTGCATGCTAACCATTTACATTACCCAAGGACTCCTTCACAAATATAGGGTGAGGAAATCATTGCAAAGGGATATATCCAAGGGAAAAGGAATTACAGGGAAATTTTAAACTTCAGTCAATAGGTTTATGTAGGTTTACTATTAGTAGTGACAGCTGTATTATTTTGAAACTAATTTACGTATATTATAGGATAAAGCAAATAATATATATAAACACTATTAAAATCTGCAATTTGCAGTGTAAGAAAAAAAGAGATACAAATATAAAGTAAAAGAAGTCAAGAAAAAGCCCTGTAATGTTAAATCCAAAATGGAAATATTAACATGAACAAATGGTTTTTTTTTTTTTTCTTTTAATCTACTTCCTTACCCTGAAAGAGCCTAGAAGCAATGACACCTCAGTAGTAATGAATACACCTAATGTCACTCAAAGAAACCAGGGCTCCTTGGAGAAAATAATTGATTCCAATTCTAGGGCTAAGCAAGTACAAATGAGCTGGGGACATTTTATGCCAGAAAGTAAAGAAGCACTCAATGACTAATAAAGTCTTGTCAAAAAGACACACCAGCCAGCTTGCAAGGGTTATCACTGGCCAAATTTGGGACAACTTGAATATCAAAATTAATATATGAAACTAACATTTTTGAATAAATAAAAATCCATGAGTCTATAGTGATACTCATAAAAGAGAGACAGAAGAGGAAAGCTATTCTCAATGTTAGCTAATAAAGATTAAATGACAGAATTTTTTTAAAAATCATTATTTTGCAATGTCCAGTGTAATCATTGATTCCAAACAGGATTATCAATGGATTCTAGAGCCATTACATTTGGTAATTACTCTCCAGGTTACTTACTAATGCAAAGAGAAAAATGAACCTTTATAATTGAGAAATCTGGCAGTTAGCAAAATTAGCATCACTAAGGGTGGGGACAATCTAACATCCTGTGCCTCCTAATGGGATGCAATGTGATGTACACAAACATCACATCACCTATGAATTATCTTTGCCAAAAATGCTTAACCTGAATCAAGCCTCTAGACTTAACTTCCAGTTTACAGAAACTACATGAGAGGGGACAGAGGAACAAGGTAATGAATGACCTTGAGAAAACAATAAGACAAATTTAGAATGTGGGACACTCTATAATACATTTGGCCTGAAAGTTTCAAAAAATCAATGGCATGGGAAAAAAGCATGATTATTCCAGATTAAAAGTGACAAAAATAATCAAAAACAGTATATAAACCTTGATTAGCTTATATTAAAGAAAAAGCAGCTAGAAAATACATTCTTGGGACAGTTTGGGAAATTTGAATAAGTACTGCATGTTAGATTATATTAAATTCTTGTTAATTTTCTTACTTACAATAATGGTACTGTGACTATTAGGAGAATATTCTTATTCATAGGAGATGAATGCTTAAATATTTAGTGGTGAAGTGTCATGATGTCTACAACTTACTTTCAATGGTTCAGCAAAAAAATGTATGAATATATAGAAAGAGATAAAACAAATATGGCAAAATGGTAACATTTGTTGAATCTGAGAGTGAGTTATATGAGTGTTCACTGTTCTACTCTTTCAACTTTTATCTTATTTGAAAAATTTCACAATAAAGTTAAAAACAAAGTATCCTGTGATAAAGATATTATAATAGCTATAGTTTAATTTTTAACTTAGAAAACTATACAGCAGAGCTCAGTAGCAAAAGAAATTTTCTCCAGACAAGAATATGACAGAACCCATGCCACCTAGTCTATAAACTACATTAAACACACACACAAACACACACACAAGCAAACCAGCCACTGGTCAAAAACATACTATGAGCTGAAGAGATATCCAGAAAGGGAGCCAGAGACAAACAGGTTTAAATGAAAATCTGAGGGGCTTGAGTATTTACAATTCATAGGGAAAACAACAAAAGTATTTCCCAAATTAAATGAGAATTGACCTTAACTATACAAATCCCAAGGAAAGGATGTGCTGACTCATGTTGGGGAAGAGAGAAAACCAGAGTGAGTCAGATGGGCTGATAATAGTAGACGACTATACATAATTAAGAGGGATTTTAGGAAAAATGGTTGTGCAGGGAAAAAAAAACAAAAACCCACACACAGAATGAGGTAACACAGAATCTGAGGATTAAGGTGAAAAGTCTACCCAAAAAAGTCCCGAAACAAGAAGGTACCAGAAAAGCACAGGAAGAGCAAATCTGGTGTAAAGCAGGAAACCAAAATAAGTGATAGAACACTTAGAACAATCAACCATTTCTCATCGGTGAAGAATTAAATCCACTAAAGCAGTAAAGCTGGTGGCCACAAGGACAACAGTCAGGACCTAAATCCAAAGAGAAGAGATCTGAAGCCAAAATAAGTCTCCAAAAAAACATCTCTCTCTCCCTCAGAGATCAACGGAGGCTCAAAAAGTATTCAACCTAGCCTGAAAACAAAGATACAGCAGAAACAAGAATTAAAATCCTGAGGTGAGGTGTTAAAAAAGGAATCTATAGAGGAGACAGGAAGGGTAAAAATAGAGAATGTCTGACACAGTCTAATAATTAGAACTTGTACCAAGCTGAATTACACGTAGGAGATCACACTTGCGTTTTATCTTCAAGGTTTGTATAAGCTGTACTCTCAAGAAGACAATACACAAATGAAGTACAACTCCGCTGAATACTTGTGCCTTAACTCCTAATGCAGCCAGATACCTGTGTCTACACCAATCACCCATGCCTGATTAGGACCATAGGTGAGAACCTGTACCACATACTTGGTGACCAACTACCCGGACACCTGAGCTGAATTCAGACAAAAAAAGTAAACAGACCCCTGGGCTCACATATCAAGTAACAGATTTAACCACCTGGTGACAGGACCTTACAGCTTCACGGGCAATTGTGTAACTGGGCAATGGGCAAGGGAGAAAGGCCTCCACGTGTAGATCAGAAGGTGGAAAGGCTGGAAACTGTGATGTGAAACTGTCAAGTGGAATACTGGTGATTGACCTCTGAGCTTCCACCTCTCTTTTATCTTGTGGGTGGTGGCTATGAAAAGTTAACCCTAAATCAACGGTAACAAGAGCACTCAAATGAAGGAACTACCCTCATTTTGATTCACAACTACTGCCAGGTAACTACCTTACTCTCCATACACCCAGCTCCTCTCTACTTACAAACCCATGCTTTAGAACTAGTTCTTCCCGTAAACAGGAAATATATAAAGAACTCTGGTTTGTAAGATCTTTGTTCATCATTAAAAACCATCTTTTCTTCTGGAATCCAATTCACTTACCTAGATCCTGACCTCCTATTGGCCAGAATTTTTGGCCTGGGCACTTTGGCTCTTAATGCATCTCTGATCCTTTGTTTTCCAGCCTATTAAGCCAAAGATTCTGATCTTTCATTTCTAAACTCTGGATTCTAGATCGCTTACCAGATCCTAGGGTGACCCCCTACATTCACATCCTGTATAATCCCCTGCTGCTTAAGTGTAAGTGGGACTTGTGACTTGCTTCTGACCAACAGAATATTGGCAACTGAATATCACTCTTGTGATCAGATTATGTTATATATCAAGGTGATGTGATGTCACAACTCAGATTAGGTTATGAAATAGATAGATATAGAGAGAGACAGCTCTGTTTTGCTAGCACATACTAGAAAGACTCTCCTGCTGGGCTTGAAGAATCAAGCCTCTATGATGCAAGAAGAGTGAGATAAACTGAGGGAGAACTGCTAAACAAAAAAGGACCAAGACTGGATGATTTGAAAATTTTCAGTCTCCCCAGATGGCAAAAGATGATAAAATTAAGAGATTCACCATCAGGAAAACATGCTCTAAAGAAAAGGCCAAAGATGTGACTGTACAACTTCTGCTAAAACCTTAGAAAGATCAAAACATCAGAGTATTCAGTTACACAAAGGAGCCTTTGAAGAGATTAAGAGTGTGTCGCCTTAATTCATGGGTCTGTCAGTTTGTCATACCATGGGGGCATGCATGTTGCTATGATGCTAAAGGCTATGCCACTGGTATTTCAAATACCAGCAAGGTCACCCATGTTGGACAGGTTTCAGTGGAGCTTCTAGACTAAGACAGAACTACTTTAAAAAATCAGTCAGTGAAAACCTCATGGATCACAACATAATATTGTTCAATGGAGTGCTGAAAGATGAGCCTCCTAGGTTGGAAGGCAGTCAAAACACACAGTGGCCACAACAATGGACTCGAGCATACCAACAACCATGCAGATGGTACAAGACCAGGCAAATTTCATTCTGTTGTACGTGGGGTTGCCATGAGTCGGAGCCAACTCGATGGCAACTAACAACATCACAGCCATTTCAACAAGAGGCCAAGGCAGAGAAGGGTTTATCTTCAAAAGATCTATATATATAGCTTTTGTCTAATGGAGTGAATCCTTACAGAAATCCACAGAAGACCCACAGAGTTCTTGAGAAAATTATTTCAGCAAAAACATTGCCTGTTTGGACTGAAAGGGAGAAGAATAAAAAATGAAGAGAGTGTCAGATCATCAAAATTCTTCTGGCAGGAAGCAGGCTGATAAAACTACTCAGCTGCTAATAGGTGCTGCTTCTCATGAAAAAAGGAAGGATGACTCAGAGTGTGGAGCCAATTAACCAGAGAGCAGGGCCCTACTCAGTTTCAAGGTATCCTCCTATTCCTCCCCACCTTGGTTGTTTTTCCCGGGTTTTGGCACTCTCCAACCTGGTTTAAAGTCCCATTCAGCCCCTTTCTTACCTAGTTATCTTCACAGCCCTGCTTAGGACCCCACTTTGCTCCATCTTCCTTATTCTGTTACTACCCAAATCCTACCCTTTACCTACCTTAAAAAGTTTCTGGGAGTGTTTAATCATAAAAGCCATTCCATTGTTTAACTTCGTGATGTTCTCTTGAAGGTCATTTGCAGTGGCCTATTCAGAGGAGAAGAAGTGGGGGGAAAAAAAAGAGAGGGCATTAAGAGCTGGGAAGTGGAAGACAGATACTCCACTTACTTAACAATAAGCTTGAAAATTACACATGAAAGCAAAACTGCTAAAGAAGATCTAGTTTGGGGTTCAAAATAGGCAGAAAGAACAGAATCTGTACGAGCCATCAAGGACATCGCCTCTTCAGAGAAAACTGACGTTTCTCCAAAAACAGAAGAGAACTACTGCTACCAATTGATACCAAAGGTAACATCTTTTTCTAAAAACCTCGGTCAAATTTTCATTGATTCTCTTCTTTCTCCTGCCTCTTTTTGAAGCACTATAGTATTTCTACTATCCCAAAGCCCTCTTCCTCAACATTATCTTTGTTACCTATTTGCTTTTACCAAGACCCCTTAAATAGTTCTTTTTGTAACCACAGTTTACTCACTCCTTTTCCATGTCTTGGTTAGCTGGTTTTAAAATTCCTTCATTAGGAGGCTTGATCTCCTTAATATGGACAAGTGTCAGTGTGTCCTCTCCTCCCCTACCTGCCTTTGTCTGGGCAGAGGCTCTCACCCCCAGCCCAGAACTTTATATTTTTTTCCCCAGCTACTTGTTAGGTAAAATATTCCACAAAGGCTCTCTCCTTCATCTTGCTTTTGTCATTTCTTACAATCCTAAAAATCTGTATAAGTCACTATAACCTATTTCTCTTATCTTCCCAACATTGTGAAGTAAGTGGTAAAGGTACTATTATGCCCGTTTACAGAGGAGAAGCCTAAGTAGAAAGGGTAAAGACACAGGTCACATAACTGGCTTGTAGCTTCCAACTCAGGTACTCTGACTCCCAGTTCCATCACACAGTAAAACCTGTATTACTAACGGGCAGGGATATGAAGCTATGTGCCTCCAAGTCAAGAATTAGTTCAAGAAACTTTATTTCTCATGTAAGGCACTGAGTAGACCGTGGTCTTAGTAATAGGAAACACGTTCAGCTTTATCCAAAGAGACTATATCTGTAGGAAACAGGAAAGTTAGGACAAGGCAGGATTATTTTGTGTCATCTTATCGTAAGCTCTATTCTGAATTTATACTCACAACACAATTTCCAGAAATTAATTTGATTTACTAAGAAGGCTTTCCTATTAAGAAAGAATGCACACACATTGACCAGCCAAAATGAGTATTCTATTTCAGTTAGTAGCCATAGTTCTTCACTAAGAGTTTCCACTAATAAATTGCCATTCAGTTTATCAGACTGATTTACAAGTAAAGATAATCAGAATTGGCCTCCTCAGGTTTGATAACTCTTGAATTAACTAAAAAATATGTTCCTAACCTCATAAAGCTGAACACTAGACCTTGGACCTTTGATAACCTCACCAAGGTGTGGCCACAGGATGAGGCCCAGTCCACGAAAACCAAGTAGTCTTTACTCTTCCCTTAGTCTCTCTCAATACTCACATTTTTTGGCCACAGGACATGAGGTGCAAACATAAGAGCAAGGTTATAGGCAGACATCTTATTCTTGTCTTGTTTCTTTGCTGTCTGGTACAGGAGATCAAGCAATAACTTCATCAAGTTACGATTGGGTGGAGGGAGAATGAGGAAAAGCAACTGAAGAGCCTCAATCTGCCGTTCCTTATCTGGTATATTGGTCTTATTGCCTTTATCATCAAACTGCATCAAATCTTAAGAACAAAAGAGGTTACTGCAAAGGAGGAAGAAAATAACTAGAAGAAAAACAAAAAAAATCAATGCTCCTACTATTATCCTCCCCTCAGCTCCCATCAGAAAAATAAATTAAAGATTATAGCAAAACAATGTCAATACAATTCAAAAATTAAAAGACAAGAATAACTCAATTTACAAATAGGCAACAGATTTAAATAGACATTTCTCCAAATAAACTATACAAATGGCCAATAAGCACATGAAAAGATGTTCAATGTCATTAGTCAGTAGGGAAATATAAATCAAAACCACAATGACACCACTTCACAACCATTACAAAAAAAAAAACCAAACCCGTTGCAGTCAAGTTAATTCTGACTCATAGCAACCCTATAGGACAGAGTAGAAACTGCCTCATAGGGTTTCCAAGGAGTGGCTGATGGATTCGAACTGCCAACCTTTTGGTTAGCAGCCTCGCTCTTAACCACTGCACCACCAGGGCTCCTCACAACCACTAGGATGGCTATAATTAAAAAAAAAGACTGACAATAACAAGTGGTGGGGAGAATGAAAACGTAGAGAAACGTGAACCCTCCTACGTGACTGGTGGGAATGTAAAATGGTGCAGCTGCTATGGAAAATAGTCTGGCAGTTCCTCAAAAACGTAAATATGCAGTTCCCACATGATCCAGCAATTCTACTCTTAGGTATATATCCTAGAAAGATGAAAACATGTCCACATAAAAACTTGCACACAAACATTCATAGCAGCATTATTCGCAATAGCCAAAAAGTAGGAAGAATCCAAATGTCCATCAACTGATAAATGGACAAACAAAATATGGAATATTTATACAATGCAACATTATTCAGCCATAAAAAGGAATGAAGCACTGATACATGCTACAAAATGAACCCTGAAATCATGTTAAGTTAAAGAAGTCAGACACAAAAGACCATACATTGTACGATTCCATTTATTAAATTACCTAGAATAGACAAATCAATAGAGACAGAAAGTAGACTAGTGGTTGCCAGGGACTAGGGGTAGGAAGCAATGGGGAATGACTGCTAATGCGTATGAGATTTCTTTTTGAGGTGATGAACATTTTGGAATTAGATAGTTGTGATCGTTGCACAGTTCTGTGAATACAGTCGGCCCTCTGTATCCACAGGTTCTGCATCTGCAGATTCAACCAACCAGGGATCAAAAATATTCAGGAAAAAAAAAAAGTTCCAAAACGCAACACTTGAATTTACTGGGCACCGAGCACTACACCAAATCCATGTGATGCAGGCATCCCCTGCTGTAGCCTCCCGCCATTTCACAGATCCTCAGTTTCTCTCCAGCACTTGTTGTTTGGGCATTGTTCACCTCACCTCTCGTTTGTTTGCTACTTGTGTTGTGTACACCCTTTGTTTCTGTGAAAAAAATGCCTCCTAAAAAGCAATTAAGTGGTCGAAGCAATCCCTCAAAGGCTAAGAGGGAATGTAAAGTGCTATCTCTTGATGAGAAAACAAAAATCTTAGATTTTTTGAAAACTGGCATGTCGCTTGCCGAAGTGGGCTGTGAGATCGGTAAGAATGAATAGAGCACTCACACAACAAAGCAGAAAGAAGCTGAAATTCTTCGAAGTGTTAGTGCTGCCCCTACAGTGGCAAAAATGGTGTCTCTGTTCGTGATAAAGAAAGTGCTTGCAAAGACTGAAAAAACACTGTTAAGTGTAAGCATTAACCACTATTTACACAGCATTTACATTGTATTAGTTATTATAAGTAATCTAGAGATGATTTAAAATATACGGGAGGACGTGCGTAGGTTATATGCAAATACTATGCCATTTTATATAAGGAACTTGAGCATCTATAGAATTTGGTATCTGCGGGGGTCCTGGAACCAATCCCCCACAGACACTGAGGGATGACTACTAAAAACTACTAAACTGTATACTTTAAAAGTGTGAATTTTATGATATGTGAGTTATAGTCTAGATATATATATAATGAAAAAAGTCAAAAAGCAATCTATTAGAAACCCTGAGAGTATGGCCCCCAGACACCCTTTTAGCTCAGTGGTGAAGTCACTCCCGAGGTTCACCATTCAGCCAGGGATTGGACAGCCCCATAAAACAAAACGGGACAAATAAGGCACAGCAGTCCAGGGACAAGCACTAGAAGGCAGAAAGGGACAGGAAAGCTGGTGATAGGGAACCCAAGGTTGAATAAGGACGGTGTTGACATGTAGTGGGGTTGTTAACCATTGTCATAGGGCAATATGTATACTGTTTAATGAGAAACTATTTTGTTCTGTAAGCCTTCATCTAAAGTGAGAGTAGCAGCACAACTGGAAGAATGTAATCAATGTCACTGAATTGTACATGCAGAAATTTTTGAAATGGTGTATCTTTGGCTATGTATAATTTCATCAAAAAAAAAAAGTCCTCCAAGGTCGAGAAGGGAGAGTGTTGACATGTCATGGGGTTGTTAACCAATGTCATAAAACAATATGTGTACTGACTGTTTAATGAGAAACTATT